ATGGACCCTGTCACACCTCCATTACCTTAGCCTCAAAGTTACCTCATAGTTCAAAATGGCTGAAGAACAAGCCATTACACTAGCTAGCATCCCAGCAGGCAAAGGAGAAAGGAGGACACAGCTCGTCCCACGGCTTTCATTTACTGTTGGCAGTGCTGGGGGCGGGGCACGCTTCACAGTTGAGCTCCATTGGCAGCCCATCTCATCCACTCCTGTGTGAGCGTGGGTGTGAGCGTGGTATGTGTACACACGTGTGTGTGCAGATGCACACTCCTGCACATGCACAGGGCAAGGAGGACCCTGGATGACTTGCTCTGTCGCTCTCTGTCTGCTCCTCTGAGGTACGGTGTCTCACTGAAACTACAACTAATATGGCAGCCAGCAAGTCTGGGCGATCACCCCTGCTCCGAACTCTGACATAGGAGCCCCTGGCTATGCTTGGCCTTTTATGTGGGTGATGAGGATTTGAACTAGGGTTCTCATGCTTGTGTAGCAAGCACTCTTACAAGTCAGCTCTTCAGCCCTTATGTCAGCCTTTAAGGAAATAAATTCTTTGTGTGTGTGTGTGTGTGTGTGTGTGTGTGTGTGTTTTATCTACACTGATATGTATGCTCCATGGGGGTGCCTGGTATACACAGAGGCAAGAGGGCATTGGATCCCCTGGGACTAGTCTCATAGACACAAGCCACCATGTGGGTGCTGCAAATCGAGCCTGAGTCCTCTGAAAGAGCAGCCAGTGCTCTTAGGCCCTGGAACAGCCCACTAGTCCCCCATCTCATCCCTTTAAATGAACTGCTCAGGGAGTCCTAATATGTGCAAACTTGATTGGCCAGACTTGGTCCCAGGGAAGCTGGGAAATGAGTCTTTATGTCGGTAGCACTGTGGCTGTGTAAAACTCAGGACTGGGGATTGGAGAGACAGCTCAGCAGTTAAGAGCACTGGCTGCTCTTCCCAGGTCCTGAGTTCCATTCCCAGCACTCATGTGGCAACTACAGCTGTCTGATCCATCTTTTGGGGTAGACATACACATAGACAAAACCCCATATACATAAATCACAAATCTTAAAAAAAAAAACAATTTAGGATTATTAGCCAGGCAACGGTGGTACACGACTTTAATTCCAGTACTTGGAAGGCAGAGGCAGGCCAATCTCTAAGTTTGAGGCCAGCCTGATCTACAGAGCAAGTTTCAGGACAGCCAAGGCTATGCAAAGAAACCCTGTCTTGGGGAAAAAAAACAAAACAAAAACAAAAAAACAAGTAAAACACAAAAACTCCTGGATTATGCCGAGGGAGAAGGGGAGAAGATGGATTGGGGTAGACATGTATGGTCTTGGCCAAGCTCCCTGCTCCCTTTCTTTTATATTATCAGTTACACAGTTATCAAATATTCCAGTGCCTTCTGTGTGCTTGACAATGGGTTCACATGAAAAACAAGCCTGGATGCTCTAGGAAGTTTGGATTTGGTGACGGAGCAGCCCCCAGAATAAGCAAGGTGTAAGTTTGTGAATGAGAGCTGGGAGGTGGGGCCTGTGCTGGGCATCACTGCAGAGCATCCATCCGGAGGAGTCAAGAGGAGGAGGGGTGAGGGCTAAGGGAGGAACACCCAGGCAGAGTACACGCATGTCCTAGTGTACAACTCACCCAGGCAGAGTACACGCATGTCCTAGTGTACAGCTCACCCAGGCAGAGCACATGCATGTCCTAGAGTACAGCTCACCCAGGCAGAGTACACGCATGTCCTAGTGTACAGCTCACCCAGGCAGAGTACACGCATGTCCTAGTGTACAGCTCACCCAGTGTTAAAAAGACGGGAGGCCAGTTTTTGGATTAAGCTCCTGTCTTTGGTCAACACACATCAGAACAAAAGTCATGAGTATGCTACAGTAGAAATATGAATGGATATGCTTATAGCTTTCCATGTGTCAGAATTTATCGACAAACAACAAACCCAGAAGCTATTTAATTAGCTGCAATGTGGCAAGTACTCCAATTTCCTTGGTGGTTGGCGACTGGAAAATGTATTCATTCCAACCTTAATAACTAATATCAGCTCTCAGATCACAAAATAATTATCTCTCTCTCTATATATATGTCCAGGTAACAGAATGGCAATAAAAGGGTCTAAAGAGGTCCCACTAAAGGAAGAGACTATAGACCCTGGGGATGGGGGAGGAAGTTTCAAGCAATGGACTTCCCACCCCTCTCCTCTAGGTCCTGAAGCCACATGGACCTGGGAGCTCCAGACTTCTTCCACAGCTAGAGCCATGAGCAAGCTCTCATAAAAAGGTTGCTCCCCCTGCCCAGCGTTGGTGGTGCACACCTTTAATGCCAGCACTAGGGAGGCAGAGGCAGGCGGATCTCTGTGAGTTTGAGGCCAGCCTGGTCTCCAGAGGGAGTGCTAGGATAGGCTCCAAAGCTACACAGAGAAACCCTGTCTTGAAAAACAAAAAGAAAGGCTGGTACCATCATGGTAGGAAACAGCCTGACCTGCCTCGACCATTTACATATTTCTGGAAGCAGAGAGTGGGCTCCCCAGTGTCATGTCTGAACACCTCCCATCACTGTGTGCTGAAGCTGGGCACAAACCCTGTGCTGAGCAAAACTCTGGAACACCGACACAGTGAAGCCAGGGTGAGACAGTACCGTGAAGGCTAGGCACGCGGGAATCCTTAGGAACCAGCTGTTGAATAACTGTTTCCCTCCATGGAACTTTACCACAGCCAGGGCTCCATCTCTGCCTCCCAAACCAGAGGGTGTGAAGCTACTTAACCTTTCTTTTTTTTTTTTTTTTTTTTTACTAAGGTCACCGTAAGGGACACATCATCACACGGCTACATGATGTGGAGCTGGTGGCCACTGACTGCACTGTATGACATGGGGAGATGAGGTGTTCTCTGGCCTGGTCGACTTGTTTCCCTTCCATTCCCTTCGCCAACAGTCTCTCCTCCTTTTTGCTTCTCTTTGCCAGCTTAGCCAAGAAGGCAGATGAGGGATGTATGTGAGGTGAACAGGGGTTTCTCGGGGAACACCAAGGATGTCTCACAGGAGAACAAGGGTTTCCCTTAGTGTTCTTTGGGAGTCTTAGAGCCACCCCAGGGATGGCTGTCTATTTTCTAACTGTGTCTTCTCAGTTATGCCCCAGCTGCTGGCTGAGGTCCCAATAGGTCTTCTGGCTGTGGGCTGCACCATCCTGTTTGCCTACCAACTTCCAGCCACTGCTTCCAAACCAACTATTTAAAATAGAGCTACGGATCCCCAGGTGTCATTTACCAATCCCATAAGATCAACGTGAGCAAAGAGTGATTGATCATCACCCTCTAGTGGCAGAAGAGGGCAGCGGTGTGAGTGTGTGTGTGGGGAGGGGTAAAAGAAAACAACAGAAACTATGTTCACAGAAAAATTAGGGGTGTGGTCAGTGGTTAAGCCCAACCTTGGGTCATCTATGGAATGTTCCAAGAAGACAGCTATGGGTTCTGCAAAGACAAAGGGTAAGGTGAATACCAGGAAGGTGAATTTCAAATAAATACCTGCTGGTCAGGCAGACTTAGACTCTCCGGTTAAAGCCGGGACCTCTGTCCTGAATGTAGGAGGTGTGTAGACGGTGAGTGGGAGGTGGTATCCAGGTCCCTGAGCCAGGTCAGGCATGCTGGGAGCTGGTTATGTCCTAACTCTGCAGAGTGAGTAGCTGATAGACTTTTAAAACGGAGTGGGTCCACCTGGCAGGCACAGGGAGGCAATGACTGAGGCATGAAGATGCCTGCGGTCCAGGGTGTGAGCTCCATCTCGGCACAGTCACAGAACCTGAAAGCCTAACTCTGTTCATCTATGCCCTGGGATAGCCCCAGGCCAGAGTGGGATCGGTCAGAGAAGAGGTGGCTCCCAGGCAAAGGTTGGAGCAGCCTCCCGCAGTGTGGGCTGAGGCGGAATCTCAGGGAACATACCCCTTTGCTGTTTGACATCTGCCCCTGTGAACTGAGGGCCATCCGATGCTTTGAATTCTTTCCTGGTTTCTACAGTGGCTAGGACCATCCAGCAATCATAGTAAAAATTAAAAAAAAAATACAATATCCTTACTGTTCGTGTTCTATGCTGGTGGGCTAGAGTGGAGAATGTCACACACTCCTGCAAACTTTCTACATGGCCATCAGCAGTGAGAGCCAGTACTTCCCAGCACACCAGGGCTGGTTCCTGTTTCCTTACCCCCCACCCACTTGGGTGCCTAGAGGTGAGAGAACTGAGACCCCAGTCTGTTAGGTGCTGAGTGAAGGAGCTCTCCGTTGTCTCCTCTCAGACTCGTCAAGAAGTCACAATGTAGCACAGGCTAGCCTCTAACCATTGGCAGTTGTCTTACTTCAGCCTCACAATTCTAGGCCTAGGGGTGCGAGCCACTGTGCCTCCATGAAGTAGCTCTTTCTAGACTGAGCTGTGGTACTACGTAGCTCTCACACTGCTAGCCCTCACCATAGAAACCATCTCAGATGTTTCATGAGCACAGGGTCCAGCTCTCATGGTTCTGCCATAGACAAGCACACAGCTTCTCTGATGGTACACACAGTCACCATGGAAACAAGCTGCACCTGAAGGAGCATGGTGGTGACCGGAAACAAGCTGGCTGAGGCGTCTACTGATGCTGCCATTGCTGAGGACCAGTGTCACCCTTGACCTGGGCATGCGGGCACCCCCCCCTCCAAGATTTGCTATTTCAGCTCCACAACCAGCATGTGCCAGGGAAAAGAGGGCTTGAGTCCTCTCATAACTTATAGTGGAGGGGGGGGAGAGGGAGGGAGGAAGTGAATGCACGAAGCCTTTTTTAGAAATGTATTTTATTTCAGTAACAAAATGCTGGTTCTTCTGAAAACGTAGAAACATTCACACTGTTAATCATTGAAGTTAAAGGTAGCCCCCCCCAGCCACTAGGTCTGTCTTCTCTCTTCTCTGCTGGAGTCCACCCAAGCTGACATTTAAATAGAAAGATCTAGAAAGGAAGGGAGACCACAGCAGTGAAGGAGGTGCTAGATACAGCCGTGGTGCTTTGCATGGACAGCATCAATGCATGGGCATTCAGTGCCTTTGGACAACACGGTTTCCTTTCTCTCTGAAGAGTCTTGTCTTTAAAGCAGGCTCCAGACAAGCCTGAGAGAGGCCATCTACCCGCCAGCTCTACATGAAGGTGTGCACACCAGGCTTTGGCACTGGCTCAATGGAGAAGTGGACAAAACGGGCGGGCGCTGACATCACAGCTCATTTTTCCATCCTCTCAGCTAACTGGGATCATGGCTCTGCCTGCAACATAAATCCAACCAACATTGCAACTAACTCTGAGTGCCCTCAGCGTTTTAAATTGCTGATCACCCCCTCTCCTCCAACTATCGCCAAGGCCAAGCTCCTCCTGGCTATTTTTGAGTTTCTATCACTAAGACAGTTTTTGAATGGCAAGATTCCACACGGTAGCTTCTTCTGCCTGCCAAAGCCTGAGGACCCAAGTGTGGTGGCAGGCTCAGGAGTCCAGCGACGGGACTGTAGTGCTCCTCTGGTCTCATTTGTATAGTTGGGAGATGACTCAGATTGTGGGTGAGTACGCAGCTCAATTCCCCGTTCTGCTCTCCACTGTTCTTTCAGTCTGATGTCACCTCAGAGAGTTGTCAGGAAATATGTAGTAAAATGCCCAGCCCCAAATCACTGCTTGGTGACCCAGTCTCTCCTGCTTTACTCCCAACAGCCCGGGGAGACACCTACTTTCTGAAACATGGTGTCAGGTAGGCAGTGCTGTGAAGCTGGTTCCCATAGAGACCTGGAGCAGAGCAGACTAAGAATCCCCTGGTGGGTTTTCAAAGAACGACTGCCCAGACTGAACGGGGGACATCGTGCCCTTCCTGGGATGGGAGCCTGGGAAGCTGTTTTCTCAGCAAGCAACACAGCATCCATGCAGTCATGTAGGAAATTCTGCTCTGCAGCTGGATTCTGGAACTGTAATCTAGAATCTAGAATCCTTGCTCACCATATTTGAATTGAGAGGCCCAGAGTCCAGCTTGGTAAGTGAAGAAACAGATCCGTGCAGAAGAGTCATGATATATGTCTTAAGGAGCCTGGAGGCTCCTTAAGAACAGCCTCCAGAAGCCTTGAGTCCTGAGACATCCTAGCATGCTCCAGAGCCCTCCCACCCCATCCCAGGCAGACTGAGAGGCACCAGCTTCAGCAATGAGCAGGCCCCATGCCTGGGGAGGAGCTGTTAGAACACTGGGGCATGAGTCCCCACTGTGGAAGTGGACAGAAGTGGACTGGAGAAGGGGACAAATGAGGTAAGGCCAGATTGTGTACCAAATGGGAAGAGATTATTTGCCACCAGGGAGTCAGACCTCATCCTGAAAGTTAACAGGATTCCTAGGACCTGTGACTCTCCATCTGCTACTCCGCTAGGCATGTTAGCAGATTCATGCATCACTGCTTGCGGTTTTTAGTAACTGGGCTTCTCAGAGCACAAGTCTGCAACTGGTAAGTCATACACACACACACACACACACACACACACACACACAAACACACTAAGGAGCACAACAAACTTGGAACAGAGGACTGATGCTCTGTGTGTGAATGTCAGCAGTGGGGTAGAGGGTCAGACTTTGCGCTCTGGCTGTGGGGTCCATGCACTCTCTTGCAGCCCCTCAGACCAACGATACAGAGATCTCAGGACACCACATCCTTGTTGGGCACTGTAGCCCTCTGGACGGTTTGGTTTACAAAGACCAGTACCTCTGATGTTTCTTCAGTTCTCTTTCTTCTCTGATCGCTGCTTCTTATCGGCTTGCAGTTTGGCTTCCAGGCTTTTCCTTTGGTACATTTTCACACCCGCAAAGGCCAGGCAGAGGATCAGGGTTTTTGCTGCCAAGATATACAGCAGCAGGGGCACGTGTTCAAGAACCTCAAGGGAGAAAGACACATGCTGATTGCTCTGGCAGTCACTGGTGGGCCTCAGACTCCGCAAATGTTACTGAGCAACTACAATGTTTCAAACAGAGGCTAGGTGATTGGGTCACAGTGGCGTTTTAGCTAGTTTAGCTACAATGTTTCAAACAGAGGGGGTGGGAGCTTTCATCACATTGGTGACTTAGCTTAGCTACAATGTTTCAAATAGAAGCTAAGTGCTTGGGCCACACTGGTATCCTTGTTAGCTTAACTGACAACTTCATACAACCTAAAGTCATCTGAGATTGGAGGAGTTGCTTAGACCAGACTAGCCTCAGTCTGGAAATTCTTGCCTCTTTAGTGCCTATAAAAACCAAATAAATACTAAGACCACTTAGCCTGTGTCCATTAGTTGTATTTCCTTTTCAGCTTATTTTCTAACTTACTGTAGAGATAACATGTTCTTGCCCTTGCTTGTGTCATAGAGAACTATGGGCTGTGACATGGGCTGCATCTTGGTAGGACTGACTGCCAGGTATATTCATCGAGATAAGACAATCTTGTTCAGATTGAGCCGGTCTCAGCCAGCCTAGAACAGCCTGGTGAACTGAAGGAGGTTGATGTGGCAATGCTGTACACTCACAGTTATAAACGGATCCCTGGAAGCTGCAGTTTTGACATTAAGTACAGCATGGTCATATGCTAGTGGGGGCCTCCTCCGGGATGTGCTACAGACTTCTAGTATCCTCACACAGCAGAAAGAGGGGTCTGTTTTATAAGGGCACTCACTGTTTTAGTTACTTGTCTGATGCTATGACAAATACCCTGACAAAAGCAAACTAAGGAAGGGCTTATTGTGGTTCACAGTTCCAGGGCACAGACCGTCACGGTAAGTGAGTCAGGACAGCAGGAGCCTGAGGGGGCTGCTCACACTGTATCCATAACCAGGAAGCAGAGAACAATGAACGCTTGTAGTCGGCTCAAGTCCAGGACCCAGCTCAGGGAATGGTAGCGCCAGCAGGCAGTGAGCGCATCTTCCCACCACAACAAACTACTCAAGATAATCCCCACAGGCAAGCTAGAGGCCTGTCTCCCAAGCTGACAACGGAGATCGGCCACCACAGGCCCTAGTCCCATTCACGAGGGTCCCACCCTTACAACACAATCACCTCCCACAGGCTCCACCTCTAAATACCATTGTGCCAGCCTCAGAAATGCAACATACATGTCTGAGAGGCACAAACGTTCACCCATTACATCTATATTAGAGAAACTAAAATGTGAAATGCTGAGTGACGCTCTGAAGGCCTGCTTTCGAAAGAAAGGTGAAATAGGTATCCAGTTAGAGGAGGCCCACACAAAGACAGGCCAAGCACCCCTCCAGAAGTCTGGAGGACAAACGCAAATTTACAAGTTTTAACTCAAAATATTAAATGTGATTACATTTTGTTTATTTTAAAAAAATGCTTCACTCCCACTAGGCTCCAAACCCCTGGTGACAGACATCCCTGGTTACACTCAGTAAGCCACAAAACAAGAAAAAGACATGGGTATGACAAACAGACTTGGAAGGAGGGAAGCCGACTGGATTGAAAAGAGGGGAGTGAGTGCATTATATACGTACATGAAACTGTTGAGGAACAGATTTAATTAACATTAAATCTGATACAGCACTGTTACTGTTAATTTTATTTTTCAGTCATGAACGCTATGGCTTGTATCACGTGTTAAAGGCTTGTTCCCTGGGGGCTGTGCTACTGTGAAGTACAGTGAACCTTCAGGAAGAGGCCTTAGGGGGAGGTCTCCAGGTCACGGGAAGTATGTCTGCAGAGGGGCTGTGTGACTCTAGTCTCTTACTCCACCTGCTTACTGGTCCCAGGAGTTACCTACTTCTATTCTCTGCCCATGTCATCTGTCATCCCACCAGTGGTCCATTGCAAGGCTGGAACTTCCAGACCCCATGAGCTATTAAGAAAAATAAACCCCAGCTAATCAACCCAGGTGTTCCACTAGTGTGACTGACATACATGGACAACCAAACAAAAAACAAACTATAAATTTTAAAACTAGTCTCACCTTCCAGTTCATGGCTGGCCGGCTGTGAGTTCACTTCAGACCAATGCAACCCGAAGACACAGCATGAGAAGCAGCTGGAAGCCAGGTCCGAGGAGCTGGAAGTTCTGACCTGGGAAAAGGAGAGAGAAAAAGAAACAGGTCAATGTAGAGCAGACTACTTTAGGGAACCCTGTCTTTGACAGATACAGTCATGTGAGCAGAGAGCAAGTGCTGCTGAGGTGACGGAGAAATCTCCCTGGTGGTTCTCCACGGCCCCCTGCACAGAGCTGCTCCTGAGACATCTGCTCCATCCCATTCCTCTGTGCACCTGACACCCACACCCACAAATGTCCCCTCCCACCTCCTGACTCAAAGTCAAGGGAGTTTAGGGATGAAAGTCCTTCTGAGTATTCTGTGCTCATCCTGGCTTTAACAAAATTATCTGGGAAAAAAAAAAAGCTGGGTGGTGGTACACGCCTTTAATCCCAGCATTTGGGAGGCAGAGGCAGGTGGATCTCTGCGAGTTTGAGGCCAGCCTGGTCTACAAACCTATACAGAGAAACCCTGTCTTGACCCTCCCCCCCAAAAAAAAAATTATCTGGATATCTGGAGGGAAAGAATAAAAGAGAGCAAAGAACTGTCCCTAAAGAACAGCTAATTTGCACATGAAAATCCTTCTAAAGAGAAAGAGAGACCTAAAGCAAGTGACTGTGCAGAGAGAGCTAGAGAACGGCCGTTCCCCAGGGCTGTGTGTCTGTTATCTTAGAATATGACACCTGCCACACAGCCAGAACACTTGAGATCCGATCAAGAGCCCGAGCACTGTGTCAGCCAGATGGTCCCTACTATTTCTGGACTTGACTTTATAGCATGGCATTGGCAGCTGGCTCTACTGTGCCGTCAGTGCTAATGTACTTAGATGACTTAAGGTCAACCAGTTTATATGTTAAATCCTTTACTTATAGGGGGAAGAAATGAGATCTAAGTAACCCACGCAGACTCTTCTTTGTGTGACCAGAATTTGAACCCATCTGGTTCCGGAGGTCTCTGTCCCAAACAGGTATCTTAAGGCTCTTGGCATCTTATTAGAAAGAACACAGATAGAAAAGTGATGAGGAATTTTATCTGGAAGCATAAATGTAGTATAGGCCAGATACTCTAGCGAGAGGCCAATGGGCTATTTGAGCTGGAGTGGAGAAGAGCAACTGGTCACATCGTCATCCATGGCTTCCTTTTGTGGTTGCAGGAGGGGTGGGAGCTGGGGGCTAGGGATGAGGTCTGGGTGTTCTTTTGGTTCAAATTGATAAGCTTGGGCTTTGCAGGCTCTTGTTAAACACTTTCCCATGATGCATTTGTATATGCTCTCAATTAGGCACAGCCAAAAGAGGACAAACAGGGATCCCTCCCAAAAGTTCATTTTGAGGTCACAGTTTGCCTTACTGGGCATGTACCCCAAACCAGCATGTGTTGGACCTGGACATGTTCCCTAGTTTCAGGATACATTTGGCCACCAAACAGGAGTTACTGAGGGTTGCTAGGGAGCTAGAGTTTGGGGTGTCCATAGTCTCTGTGTAAAGAGAGGTGTGCATGCAGGGTGGGGGGATCCCAGCTAGATTTATTGGGAAAGCAGTGTGTGTGTAGCTCAAGCCAAGCAGACTCTCAGGGTTCTCTTCCCTTGCCTACCATACAGTCAGTCTGTCAGATAGGGAGTTCTAGCCTCAGCAAGCCACCTGGACACAGGCAGAGAGCTTCAAAATCATGGGGCAGGGGGACTTGTATTCACATGAACTTACAATCAGAATTAGAAAGGCAACAAGAAAACTTCACAGTCCTTCCTAACAGGCTTCCTTAGGCAAACCTCATGGGAGATGGTTTAGAAAAAAACTTCAATTACAAAAGTGTCTAATATATACAATTCAGGGCGCCACCTATTCAAGGTTATAGAACTTGAAAACCAGCTAGCCATTGGCACTGGATAACCAAGTTTTCCCCTTGGCTTGTGCAAAGTCAGATAAATCAATCAGAGCTTAATTCACAGCACTGTTTAACTGTGATAGCAGGGTTGAAGGTGTCCACTACTTACACGCATTCCCCTCTCAGCAGCCGCAGAGTCTGACCTACAACGAAAGCATGGGCTCTCTGCATGCTACAACCTGCTGCCAGAATTTATTCTTTGAATCTCTAGGAGTTTTAGGGATCAGCTGTGCTGCTTATTAAAACAAAATATTTAGGTTCTTTTTCCATTTTATTTTCATAATTCTTTCTTAATTGAGTTGTATACATATAATAGTGATTTCACTGTTTCCCTACAGATTACCTTTGTGAATTGATATGCACAGGCTTAGGCCAAGGAAAGCAAATAAGCCCAAGAAGCTTACAAGAGTAAATAAATGAAAATAATCCCCAGGGGTCTGGAAGTCTGGCAAACATATTGCATTTAGGAGCAATGTGACCTTGGTCAGGTACAGGGCCTCTCAAAACCTCCTTCATCAGTAAATTCTCCTTCAGAAGTTGGTCGGTCATCACTAAGAACAATGAGTAACACAGAAAACACTAGATCAATGTCAAGTATTACTGCTTTGATAATCTCTCTCCTCTGCTAATGGCCTGCCAGATAACAAGCAGTACCATGTAGTTAGCACAGGACAGCCAGGTGTGGTATAAAGAATAAGGGCAAGGAGGAGGAGGTCAGGACTCTACTCCAGGTGGACTACCGGCTGGGCACATGACCCAAGAAAGCTGTTAACCTCCTGAGCCTCTTACTTGTAATATTAGGGTCCAAAGAGTGAGTCTCCCACTCTGGAATTGATGTCACAGAATCTGAAGGTAAATAGATAGGGTTAAAAGGTAAGGGCTCTCAGAAGGAAACAGAGGGTTGGTATGGCTCAGCCTCTGTCTCTCCCTCTAGGAGGTCAGGTGTGCTGGCCTGATGTGCACACAGCTCTAGGTTCAACCCCAAGTAACTCATAAGCCAGGTGCAGTGCATGACTCTAGTCCTAGGATTTGGGAGGTGGGTGTAGCTCTCCCGGTCTCAGATACAGGGGATGCTGCCAAAGAAGAAGAGAGGAGAGGAGGAGGGAGTGAACGAAAAAGGAGATCTGTAATACAGTGGTTGGGGTGCATAGAAGAGGGAAAAGGACCGAGGCCAGCCCGGCTGGCTTCCACCCTCTGCTTTAAATTACACGCGCCAAAGCAGACATTTTCACCGCAGCGCGCAAGCCTTCTGCAAATGAGACATCCCGGAAAGCTAAACGGAACAGTGAGCAGTTTGCTCTGATACCATGTACTCCTGATCCCGCCCAGAAACAAAAGGCAGCTGGCCTAGGAGGGATGAGAAGAAACCACCAAAGTCGGGACAGCTGGAGGGCATTAAAATAAATGAAACACAGGGACCCACACAGGTTTAGCTTAACCCTCAACAATACCAAAATGGTTTAGAGAAAACTGCTAGTAGTTTTGATCTTTATTGAAAAATATCTTTTCTCCTCTTTGCCAGTTTTCCCCCTTCCTAGGTACAAAAGAGGTATGCACTCATTTTGATGAGGCCAATTAAAACAACACGGGCGATATATTGGTCACGAGCTCCCTTTGCTCCTTGGCAGGCCTAAGGAAGCCAAGGGTGCACCTATCTGAGCATGCAGCCCACTCACTTCAGCGGCTCTCCCCTGAGCAGCCGTGGGAGCTCTCTGAAACTGTTACCACTCCCAGTCTCGACCCCTTCCGCTTTAATTCCTTCCTCACCCGACTTGACAGTTGAGTGCGGGTAGGTTCAGGTGCTTGGGCCTCACTTAGCCCCCTAACTCACAGGCATGGGTTTTCAAGAACTCTGGATCGCCCATCCGGGCAGCCCAGACTCTAAATCCCAGTACTCTGGGGTCCTCCGAGAGACCAGGGCCAGGGCGACGCTCGCTGCTCGCGGCTCGCTGCTCGCTGCAATGCACACCTCACACCACTGCACACCCGGGCTCCTGTGCAAGCCGCAGGATCTAGCGTGGCTTTGCTCTTCCTGGGTAACGGGGTCTCCAGTCGGGCCCTGATCCCAACACACTCGAGGTGCAACCCTCGCTCCGCTAAGGGGCAAAACAGAGGGCCCGAAGTTATCACCTCTCCCTCCCTTCGTCCCCAGAGCAAGGCGACCAGAATCTTAGGGTTCCCGAGCGCTGTGTGACCGCGGCCAGCAAGCGTCATGCGGGGAGAAGCACAAACACGGGTGGCCGAGGGTTCCCCAGCGCCCCAAAGTGTCAATCACACACTTACAACTCAAGGCGGAGGGAGCCTCTTGGCCGGGTGCTGACAAACCACGACTCCCACAATCCCGTCGGGAAAACTACAAGTCCCGAAATGCACCGCTCCCTCTGTACGCAAGCGCCGTCCTGACCGCTTGATGCGCAGGCGCAATGGGTCTAGGCTGCAGTCCGCTGCGCAGCTGGATCCCCTCAGGGGTCAAGGCGCCTGGGTCTCCTTAGGGCATCAGGCAAGCCGTGCGGGGTAATGAGGCTGTTGCAGAAACCCGAATCGGACCCCGAGGGTGGTCCACCGGTGTGATGCTGCCCGGGGTCCTCGCGCATCTTCATCCTGGGCTGCTTTCTCGGGATGTCGACTCCCAGGTCTCCGCAGCTGAGGACGGCGGGTCCCCAGTTTGTTTTTATTCCTGTTTCCCCCCAGACTGAGCGTTCATTCCTCCCTTGGGACAGCATGGATGCGTCGTCCTTCGGGATAACTGAAGGCTGTGTCTGCATTAGGTTCCCAGATTCTCTCGGAACCACTTGTCCCGGAAAGCGTGCTGGGTGGGGAGGCTCACACGGAGCAGCCCCGGCAAAGTGCTCGCCCGCCCGAGCTCCCCACCTCTACGCCTCCTTCCTCGCCGAGGGGGAGGCTGATGCCGGTGCTGGCACCACAGTCCTACACATTGCAGCGGAAGGGTGGATATTTGAACCCAAGAAATCTAGCTTCAGGTCTCATTATGCTTCTTTGTGGAGACGAAGTAGACCGTGTAAGCGTGCAGAGGCGAAAGCAGACTCGGTTGTGTCAACAAGGGAAGATTTGTGTTTGTTTTTAAAGAAAACAACAAATAAACCTTTATTGTAAGTGCTTCCACACTATTGTCTAATTTAAATAGATGATAATTATAACAACGCGTTGTTATAATAATTATAACCATTTTACAAAGGAGGCAAGCCGGCATGTGAGACAGGTGTGAGGTCAGCCATGTGATCTGTGCTCTGAAGGAGAAAAATTCCCCATATGTGACTCAGGCAGACCTGCAAGGTACATAACCAGTGGAGTCTTAACGTTTGCATTTCAAAGAGATATTTCTAGATGCTTGAAGAATTATTCTTGCAGGGTCTCATTGTTTGCATTTCTTCTTTTATTTTTTAGATTTATTTATTATGTGTACAGTGTTTTGTCTGCATGTACGTCTGCACACCAGAAGAGGGCGCCAGATCTCATTTTAGATGGTTGTGAGCCACCATGTGGTTGCTGGGAATTGAACTCAGGTCCTCTGGAAGAGCAGCCAGTGCTCTTAACCTCTGAGCCATCTCTCCAGCCCCAATGTTTGCATTTCTAAGAGACAGTTTTAGATGTGGGAAGAATTATTACGCCAAGGGAAAGAGACAGGATTTGTAGTTGCACACTTTCTCAGTTTCGCCAAGAGAACCCAGTAGCCTCTCTGCCTACTGTGCTGGACTGTGCAGTCAGTTCCTCTGGTTATGGCTCATTTTTCTCAGGCAGGTACTTTAAGGGGCTGGGATAACTCCAAAGATTCAGCTTTGAGCTGTTAGGAAAAAAAAAATGATGTTTGTTCAAGCCTTTTAGGCTATGAAGGTGGATGATAATTTGTATCAGGAGGAAGGTTCAGAGGGCCTTGACTAGAGTCTGATAAACAAAAGTCTGTAGCCAGGGTAGAAACCCTGGCTAGATATAGCGCCAGGCTGGGATCTCTGGGTCAAGCCATTTAGGATGGCAGTGTTACTGGGCATCAGAATTAGGGCTCCTGGCGGCCCCTGCTGACAAATCTGCCCTTGGACTATGAATGCCTCCCTCTAACACTATCCAATTTCTCTGGTCGCTAATGCAAGATGTTGTAGGAAGTAGATACTTTCTGTATACCTCCTGCAACTCTAAAGAGACAAACCTTGTAGTTGGTTTTATGGTTTGTGGTCATCAAAACTCATGTTAAAACTTGGTCCTCAACATGCTGAGATGTGGGGGCATTTGAGAAGTGTCTCCCCTGAAGGAATGCATGGCCTTTTCGGGGGGGGGGGCGGTTTTTACTCACCAGGCAGGATCAACACCAGGGCAAGCATTGTTATAATGAGCTTGGGTCTGGTGTGTGGTCTCCTCGGCACGCTCCAGCTGGGTCTTCCTCTTCCTGCCACAAATTAAAGCAGTGTGAGGCTTCACTAGGAACCCAGCAGATGCTGGTGTCCCTGCTCCCAGGCTTCCCAGCTTCTTAGAGCCATGAACTCAAATAAACCTCTAAGAATGACCCAGTCAGGTCATTCCTTGTGGCAACAGAAGTGGGCATCTTTGAATCTTGTCTCGATGCTCTGAGGCGTGAAGCCTCACCCACAATTGCTGTGCCCTGGCCATGGCAGAGACGTGGAGTGAGAAGCACAGGATGCTAAGGACCAACCTGACCCTCATTTGCTCCCGACTTCCTACTTTCAGCAGTTATGTTGGGATTCTCATGGTTCTGCTCTTGCTGTGTCCACTTCCTGTTGACCAGTGTGAAGACTCTTCACAGTCTAGTGCCCAGCTGTTTGCCTCCCCGGTGTGTGAGCTCCTGCAGCTCAAGGGATCTCACTCTCCTCTCACCCCCAGGTCCCAGGCTGGTAACCCAAGTAGATAAGTGTCACATGGTTGAATTAATGAAGGAAACATCTAATCTTGATAGATTGCAGTTTTCTCATCTGTAGGTGAAGGGTACAGGTGACCCCCCAAGGTGATCTTCAGCTCTGGCATGCCATACTCCATGGCACAAAATATTCATTGTATTTTTTAATGATAGGCTTCATTGTATGCACATATATAACATGGTATTTTGAAGCATATACACATTATGGAATGACTAACATAGAGCATCTCATGTGGGTAAGGACACTTGATATCCACTCATCTGTGTTTGTTTGTTTTTTCAAGACAGCGTTTCTCTGTGTAGCTCTGAATATCCTGGAACTCTCTGCAGACTAGGCTGGCCTTGAATTCACAGAGATCTGCCTGCCTCTGCCTTCAGAGTGATGGATCAAAGGTGTTCGCCGCCAAACTCTCTCTCCACTTAGCAGTTTTTAAGAACAAAAAGCATTGTCACTGACCTTACAGTACAATGGATCTTGAATGGCTTTGAACCTCAGCTAGCATCTTCCACCTCAGCCTCCTGAGGGGTGGGGTTATAGGTGTGCACCCCTAGGTCCCTTTAAAATTTGTAACCTTTGACCAACATCTCTCTATCCACACCCCTCCCCCACACACTATGGTGTAAATGATTAAGCAGCTGTTACCTAGTTTGCAACAAACAGCCAGTGGATATTCTGCAGCATTGGTTTTGTCAAATATGCATGGAAACAAGCTACTGTGGGTAGAAGGAAACAGAAATAAGTAAGAAGCATGATGTTTAAGAAGAAATGCCACATTTTGTGTTTGTTTTCTTTCTTTTTTTTTTTACCGCAAGTTGGTTTTGTTTTATTGTTTTCTTTTACATGTCAATCTCAGTTCCCTGTCCCTCCCCACCTCCCCTGTCCCCACAGACCCCCTGTCTCAACCCCATTCCGCTCCCCAGGGAGGGGAGGCCTTCCATGGGGGAATCTTAGAAGTCTGTCATATTATTTGGAGCAGAGCTTAGACCCTCCCCAGTGTGTCTAGGCTCTTTTTTTGTTTTTGTTTTGTTTTTTTTTTTTAAATGCCATTTTTTAAAAATTATTTTTCTGGTCTGGAATCCAATTTCTTTCTTTTTAATTTGTGTAATTAATTTTATTTTATGTTCATTGGAGTTTTGCCTTCATGTATGTCTGGGTGAGGATGTCAGGTCCCCTGGAACTGGAGTTACAGACAGCTGTGAGTCACCATGTGGGTGCTGGGAATTAAATCCTGTTCCTCTGGAAGAGCCGTATTTTTTAAGTAATGAGAACTTTTAAGTTGTCTTCAAAAAATTGAAAACACGCTTTGGTTGCATTGGGTAGTTCTTGAATAAGTGATGCCTCTGGTGTGGATTATTTGTTCTTTCAGTGTTTGTTCTGTCCACATGTCCAGATCAGTCAAATACCAGGAGAGCCACAAATGCAAAATAACCCCATGTCTCTGTCCATTTACTACCTTGGACCCCATGCCCATGATCAGTAAGTAAATGCTGCCTGTCAGCTCGGCAAGCCCATGATAGATTTAAACTGTGGATTCTGAATAACACATTTGACTTATTCATAAATTGAATTTGCTACATTCAAACTAATATTTCATATGAGAAAAAAGGTTGAAGGATTTGTAAATCTCTGCTTTCTATTCCCACTGCTCTATTCTCATGATTGGAATTAATTTAAATGACATTTACATTGCATAGCAAGTAAAAAAGGAGATCTTCAACACACAGTATCACCCCAATGGGCTCATGTAAACCATTGAGATAGAAATGTCACCTGTGTCAACTACCAGCCAGGCCATTGCTGAGAAAATTTTCAGCTCAGAGAGGAACTAGCTTTCTACTGACTCGCTAGGTGGCAGAGGCACCCCTTCATGGCCAGATGTACCCTTGTTATTTATCAGGGTGACACTGTGAATCCTGTTGCCCCCATATTCTCATGGATGGTGGCCTTGGATTCTTCCAGATGCAAGATCTGACTTTTGTACTTCTCCTGCCAATCCTCCACAATGTACTGGTGGTAGGGGTCCTGGGAATGCTCCTGCCGCTTTGATTTCACCGTGCTCACCAGGATGGCCACTACGATGAAGGAGAACATGCCAATCATCACCATGAGGTACAGGATGACATAGTAGAAGTTCTCAGCGTCGACTTTGGCCTGCAGTGCTTGCTCTTCGGCTGTGGTGTTCTTCCTCCAGTTGTCCATGTAAGTAATAAAGATTTTTTTGAAGACATCCTCCAGTGTCTGTGTAAAATTGGCTAATGTAGCCATGTTTCTCCTTTACTGTAATTAAATGATAATACAGATTAGTAAGGTTAAGGCCTGCCCGGCTCCATTCGGCTGCCTTCAGGGAGGTAGGAAGGCAGATACAAGTGGGAGAGAATGCAATTTCTCTCTCTCTCTCTCTCTCTCTCTCTCTCTCTCTCTCTCTCTCTCTCTCTTTCTTCTTTTTTAAAAAAGAATTTATTTATTTACTATGTATATGGTGTTCTGCCTGCACAAGAGGAAACAGCACCAGATCTCATTATAGATGGTCGTGAGCCACCATGTGGTTGCTGAGAATTGAACTCAGGACCTCTGGAAGAACATCTCTGAGCCATCTCTCCAGCCCTGAGAATGCAATTTCTTAACCTGGCTAGTGATAGCTTGAATTCAAAGTTGGGTAGTCTTTAAACACTTGTGTTTTATTATTTGTTTGAATGGACTATTACAACAGAATGTAGTAGAAGACATAAAGTCATATAAAGACGTTTTATGCATAATTATATATGCACACATTAAAATGGGGAAAGACTAGAAGGAAGCAGATAAAAATGTATACAGATATACATATTTATAGCCCTATATTTTTGCTTTTCTTGGCATTTTTCTTGAATGTTGAATTCTCATCAATCATCTTGCACTTTTTTGTGTGTGGAAAAACACCAGCGACCTCTCAGTCAATGTGAAATGCATCACACACACACACACACACACACACACACACACACACACACAGTGCATCTAGCATGCTTGCTGTTGATCATTCATAGTGGTGGGCATTTTGCTTTTACAAGTTGTGGAGATTTAGACACAGCATTGAGGCAAACGTTTGCAAAGATAGATTTTTGTAATATGTCCTATGTCCTAGGCTTATCAGGCATGCCCAACCTGTGGCTCATGGGCCGCAAGGAGCACAGGATAGCTATGAATGCAGCCTCAATGCATAAAGCTACTTAAAACATTATGACACTATGAAGTGTGTGTGGTGCGTGTGTGGTATATATGTGTGTGTGTGGTGTGTGTGTGGTATATGCAATGTGTATGTGTTGTGTGTGTGTAATGTGTGTGTATAATGTGTATGTGTTGTGTGTTGTATGTGTGTAGTGTGTATATGTGTGGTGTATGTGTGTAGAGTGTGTGTGCTATGTGTGTGTGCTATGTGTGTGTGCTGTGTGGTGTGTGTGTGTGTGTGTGGCGTGTGTGGTGTTTCAGACAGTGATGCCAAGTCATGAACTGAGCATTCTTTGGTCCTCCCAGCGCCATCTCCCTGCTTCATCCCCACTGCCTCTGGGCAGCCACTGCCATCTCTGGGAATCACTGTGTGATCCTCCGTGAAACATCTCTGTGCCCTTCTCTCTCTGCACAAGGATGCCCTCTTTATAGGAAGGGAACCAGGGTGATGCCATCACCCTACACCACAAGATGCTCAACCTTCCTGATAACTTCCTAATTCCTTAACTGGACTTCCTGGTCTGGCCTGAGTCCCCACTGACCCACCCTGCACTTAACCCTTACAGCAAAGGCTGGCATGCTGCCAGCCACACCTGCTTTCATCCAGCAGCCTCACTACCTAGACTATTATGCCCGCTCTCCTGCCGGCACTCTTTGTCTTAAGTCCCAGCATGTGAGCTGTCAGTATTCTCATCACTCACAGGCTGTGTCAGGCTTCCTTATCAGATCACCCCAGACTTCCAGACATTCTCCCATGGGACACTCTTCCCAAATTGCCCTCACTTCGAAACCTGTTCCCAATACATGTTTATCATCTGACTTTAAAAAAATACGATATTGTGTGTGTGTGTGTGTGTGTGTGTGTGTGTGTGTGTGTGTGTGTGTGTGTGTGTGTTGCCTACATGAATGAATATGCACCATGTTCATGCTTGGTGCCTAAGAAGAACAAAAGGTGTTGGTTCCCTTGGACCTGGAGTTTAGACACTTGTGAGCCACCATGTGTATGCTGGGAACTGAATTCCAGTCTTCTTCAAGAGCAAGTCCTCTTAACTGCTACACCATAGCTCTGCCCCTCGCCTGACATTTTAACTTCTGTTCTTCAAAGGTCTCTAAGATCTTTCTCTCCTTCTCCCCACCACTCAAAGCCTGGTGACTTAAAAGGAAAGTCAGCAAACAGCTGAGATTGCTCCCAGGTGTACGCCAAGTACACTTTCCAAGAGGTGCGGCAAGGATGTGCACTGCCACCTTAAACAATGTTTGGCGGCAAAGAGTACAGCCAAAGTTAGTTTTCTCCATAAGGATTACGTATGCGCATAGGAAGCTCTAAGCTCAGTTTCAGGGGACTCACTCCTGGGGTCCCCGCAGTCTAAGAATCACTTCTGCAGGTGTCCTGAGGTGAGAGATCTCAGCAGTGAGTTCCACTGGAGCCTCTCAGGCCTGCTTCCTGGTGCAGCCCCTGAGAGCTGAGTGGCCTGCACCACCCACTATTTGCTTGGCTCTTCGCTGCTAAGCAGGTCACGGGTGCTTTTTGTTCAGACTTAATCACAGGCTTGAAAGGGCCTCCGAGGATTAAATAAATGCCTGGGTGCTGACCTCTGTCCAGCCCGAGCAAGCAGGGTCTAAGATGGTTCACGTTTTCCATACTGAGGCACGGGGTGGGGCTGGGCTGGAAAGTCTGGTGTTTCATGACCATGGGAAGAAGCACTGAGTGAAAGCGGCTTCACTGACAGAGGTCGTGTTAAAACATATTCAGATGATGCATGGCAGAAGAGGAGAAGGGGATGCTGGAGGCAGACGAATACAAGCATGAGAGGGGTCAGCGACATGGGGGACGAGCTGTAAGAGAGAAGGAACCAAAGCTAGTTTTGTAGCATCACACTAATCTGCGACAGTAAAGGAAGAGCCCGGGAGAGGTTCCGCGGGGAAAATGCTGACTGACAAGCTGCCTGGCAAGTCTGGATCCCCAGATCGCATGCAAAGCTGCCTGCGGAAGCACTCGCCTGCATATGTCATCCCCGCGCTCCTGGGATGAGATGGGAGGTGGGGACAGGAGGACAGGGAAGCTAACAAGCAGGCCAGTTTGCCTGGAGAACACAGCAGCAAACTTGGGGCCTTGTTTCAGACGAAGTAGAAGGTGGGGGCTGACTGCTCACTGAGGTTGCCCTCCAGTTTGCACATGTGCACTGTGGTAAGTCTGGGTCCGCCATCGCACACGCATGTGCACACACACAGGCACACATTAAACACACACACACACACACAGGCACACATTAAACAAACACACACACACACAGGCACACATTAAACACACAAACACACACACAGGCACACATTAAACACACACACACACACACAGGCACACATTAAACAAACACACACACACACAGGCACACATTAAACACACAAACACACACACAGGCACACATTAAACACACACACACACACACACACACACAAATTAAAAATAAAAAAAAATTTTTCAAAATCTGTAAAGGACAAATAACAAGTTAACATTAAAAAATGATAAAGGGTTAATTTAAATTTTGATTCCTAGAATAACCACTGACTTGACAGACAGCCACCATATTTGCCACACACATCCCCCCCCTATAAACCCCAAGGGAGGCACTGTACTTCAGTAATCCCAGAGAACGGTTGTGCGCAATCATTTGAGCTGTATGAAACTGCCTTAGGTCTATGTAGGTCAGTGTCACGTGGTTCCACCTAGCGGGAAGTGTGTCTCCACTAAACGGTTCTCATTGAGTCTCAGAACAGGATGGGTCCCCGGAGAACAGACACTAGCTTGCTCTTTGGTGGGGGAACGTCTACAGCCTAGCACTTAGGTCTGTCAAAAATCAGGGCTCTCAACTTGGCCACCGTGCCCAGGCTAGAACTCAGTGACCCAGGCCCAGTACTCAGTCTGTCCTAACCCGTGTTCCTATCTGGTTGACTCAACCACATAAAGGACAAAAGACTGAGACCAGGGCTTGAGCGTGCACGTCCATTGGTTGTCTCCAGGCCACTGAACAATCCCCTGGTTCCAACTGCTCCTACCACAAATATACAAGGTGACCTGCCAAGGACAATCTGGACACTACAAGGAGAGTCACATGCGTTTGACCTGGATGACCGAAGCTTTCTTTGCTCAAAATACGATGGATCATTACCATTATCGGAGCCTACAACAGACAGCAGAGTCTTGTATTTTAATGGAAAAAGATATGATTACCTACATTTGGCATGAATCGTTCATTTATAAAAAATACTTTCAAAATTTTCAGCTGAAGGCAATCACTGAAGAAAGGAGCAAGAAAAGGTTAGGAAGGAAGGGAGAAAGACAAAGGGAAGGCAGGCAGGCATGAATGGGACATGCCCAATGCGCGCGCACACGAGGGTGTGTGTGTGTGGGGGGGGTATATGTGTGTGTGAGTGAGTGTGTGGTGTATATGTGAATGTGTGAGTGTATGTGTATGTGTGTGTGTGTATATGTGTATGAGTGTGTGGTGTATGTGTGAATGTGTGTGAGTGTGTGTGAGTGGGTGGTGTATGTGTGTAGTGTATGTGTGTGTCGTGTATATGTGTGTGAGTGTGTGGTGTATGTGTAAGTGTGTGTGTGTGGTATATGTGTGTGTGAGAGTGAGTGTGTGGTATATGTGTGAATGTGTGTGTGTATGAGATTCAGTTTTCTGAGGAAGGAAAAAAAAGTTCTGTAATCTTTTTTTTTTTTAAGAATGTATATAAAAGAAATAAAACTTACCCACAATGTGTGAGCAATGCAAGAGGCCTCCAGAGAGCCAGGCTCTGCTCTTCAGGACCGTACATAAACCTCGGCAAGCTGGGCACTCTCTGCTTGAGACCCAGCAAGCCCTCGCTGACTGGAGTCTGCAATCCTGGGCTTTTACAAATCCAAATGTTTAATCTTATGTGGAAAGTTAAATACTGGCTGGCAGCTGGGAATTAACCCTGACGCCTTGATAGGGGTGGGGCGTGGAGTTGCTTGTGTGGAGCCTGGCTGTGGGTGAAGTGGCTCAAGTTCCCTCTTTGTGACTACTGTGCGA